TCCGACCAAAGTGTCCGGGCTGAAATAGTGCTCCGACCAACGTGTCCGGGCTGAAATAGTGCTCCGACCAAAGTGTCCGGGCTGAGACGCTCTCAGAAGCTTCAGGTCACATCGAGAATGCAAAAATTTTTGAGTGGGCAAAATTTACGGCGGACGTTTTTTTGGCCCCCGGACGGTTTGGTCGGTTTAACGACTAAAACGTCCGCCGGACGTCTTGGTCGTCCGGACGTTTTAGTCGGTTACAAACGTACCCAGTACCCACGCACTAATTTTGTCGTGTACATAACACTGTTCCACAACATATGACTTAAAATAATTTACGCAGCTGAGTCAAACATGGCAAAAAACTCTCAGAAATAAAACGAACTTTTGCAGGTGTATTCGCAGAGAAGTCTTCATAGTTTTTACGTGGTATACCGGTGCCAATTCGATAAAACAAAGTACTTGTTTAATTAACGAGAGCTTTGCTCAGCCGGCACTGCAATCCGTGTATCTTTCGATGCCCACAAGCATGTGGACTTTAGTGAAATCGATTTCCCTGGTTTTTCAGGCATGTCTTCCCTTCATAGTTTTCTGTTAATGATCGCCACAATCCGCTCGTTGTCCTCGTGTTATCGTTTGGATATGTTTCCCAGTTTGTAATTTTAACGAGTGCCTGCGCCTTGTATTAGCATAATTTTATTTCCTTAACATATAATGGTTTCCACAATACTATGGATGCATCAACCACATACTCTGACCACTATCACACTAAATCTTGCGATAGCGGTGTCGAAAACAAAAATCTCTTCCGTATGATCAAAAGCAACGCTTGTAATTTGTAAACTCGTGCACCGAAGCCTTAACATCATAAGTTGCGAACATGGTGTAGAAGCAGCAGAAGCTATGCCGAGATGATATGAATGTCATCAGAATACCCATCCGGAGGTTACGTTGGAGGTGACCGCACAGGTGAAGCTCGTACTGTTGCTGCTGGCCAGCTCCGAGAAAACTAGAATGCAGCTGGTCAGACCGATGGCGCCCTGCGAACCACAACAGTCCTCGGACATGGTGCCATGACAGTACAACATGGTACAAAAGAAGTGGTGATTACGGTATTAAATTTAACAAACTTCTATATTTGTTGAAAATTCTATTAAAATTAGTCATCGTGAATGTGTAACGTAATGCCTGATCGTTTGCAAAAAGTGCAGCTATTCCTTATAGGGCGAAAACCTGATTCAGTGGGTGTTTTTGCCATCCCATGTATGGTACATAAAGCGGTGTCGGTATTAGTAATTCGGAAAATGTCATGCATGCATAATTAACAATATGTGTGTGTTGGTTCGTTGTAAGGCATTAACAGTCAGTATTTACCCAACATACAGTTAGGATTTACCCAATATGTAGTTTATCAAGATTACTCGATAATAAAAAGTGTGGAAGAAGGGTTCAACCAGAGCGCATGAATCCCAAGCACTGAGCTAGAACAGAAATTGATAATCCCTTTTTCACGATCAACATTGCTGTACGTCGTAGCAGATGCGTTTGGTTTTTACGGCGTTTCATCCGCATAAAACCTTACTGAACCCACCTGGAGTGCGGCTTCCCTGGACACTGTAATACCAGCTATTGTGAACCCAGGCGGGTAGTCTTTGACAGACTGCATATACAACCACAATCGACGGATGGTCGTCGCAGCGTCGTGCGGATCATTTATACGGAGCACAATGTTGCACTCTTGCAGGTAGACATCGATAGCTGGAACGATTAACTGGCCCTGCAATTAAAAAAAAATTTATTCACCACTTGCTTCTTTCATAAGATTACGCTCTTGATTCAACATAGCGATGATTTACCTGTTCGACAGAAAACACACGCGAAACAGTTAGAACGGACAACACAGTTAGCGTCTCGGCTAAGGTCACGATCGTGCTGCCGGCCGCCTCACCACAGTTGACGTACTGTCCACTGATATTAAACGTGGCAATAACTGACCAGCCTAGCACCGCAATCAGAGTGATACCGGATATAATGGACAGGGAGTTGTCCAGCTCCTTCACCAGAGAACTTATTCTTTTATGTTGAGCAACACACTCACACATTCGACTATCAGAAGTGGTTGCGTTTAAGGAGGTCCGCCTGTGTAATAGCCCCACGGTCTGAAATTGTCTTGATTATTTTACACTTAGGGTAGTTATTAACTGATGGTACGCGAATGCATAACTAAATCATAACGATTCAATTTTTAAATTGAAGAGAAGGCCCATAATGACGACAGAGACCTTCAGATAGATAATACTTTTGTCTGTCACTTAATCACGGAGTTCGGCTGCTTCGTTCTTGTGTAAACTTCTGACATTTTCGAGCACGTTAATTTTTTAAGGCATCGTTTTTAAATTGTATCCACAAAATCTCAGCGTAAGTAATCTTCAGCACTCCATACGTATTCTTAATGTATCTCCCAATTTTTCCACATGTTACTCATTGTACATTTCTCAGTACAATTAATTGTGAAACACACTAATATATGCAAAAACAAACTCACGATAAAAAGCAACGATTCGAATTCGCTAAAACCGCAAGTGAGTTTGTGAAGTGAATTCATTATATGTGAAATGATCCCACTGGGATCATTTCGGGTAAATGTGGCTTAGTGCACTGGCTCGCATGGCGTGGTTTACGTGTTTCATACGCACAAACTGGTAGGATGCAAGAAGGATACGTAGGAGATACTGTCAGGTTATGGTGCGCGATATTACGGATATATCACGCAGCTAAAACAACCTGCCGTCCAATAAAGTTTAAGAGTACTTGTATATTAAACGTGCACGAAAACTGGTCTACAGTAGATCTACAGTAGTTATACGCTAACTGGTGCACTTACAATGGCCAAAAGAGAAACAAAACCCACGGCAATGCGCTTACTTAGGTCGAACATGTAAACGGTACCCGAGTATATACTATTAAAAACGGTCAAAGCGGTCGGAGAAGCGCTGGGAAAATATAAATCTCCAAAATAGACAGTGCTAATGTTGAAAATATCACTGTGGATCACACCAGAAATCAGTGCAACCTTTGCGACTGCAAACGCCAGAAGATAAGCCACCGTAAACAGAATTAGGCAAATGCGATCACTTGTTATTAGGTACTGGCCAAATTCTCGATCCAACTGCTGCATGATGAAGACAAGCTTTTGCCTGGCCAGGTAAAATGTAATAAAATACGGCAGCTCAATAATACATAACAAGCCGTTTATAAATCCAAGTGCAATTACTGGGAAGCGCGTCGCCGGGGCGGTGTACAATCTGTAGGTGTCATAGGCATAGAAAAAACTGATAATTACCACCAGCGCTGCCCATAAAAGAGTAACTATCTGCGCGAATAGTGCCAACATTTTATGTTGGATGGCTGGATAAGGGCAGAGTCCCGTAGCTTGCAAGAAAGCCATCCAGAATTTCGTAATTTTCCACACCACAGTTGCCGGCATGGGCTTGTTCATGCTGTCGTTAATGCTGTTCCGTCTAGTTGAACGTCACGTTTTCAAAGAATGTTTGTGAGCAATAGGTTCGTTAATAATTTTACACTCTTCCAACAAGAAAAACACACGAGTGAGACTTTGGAAGCTGGTTCCAGATGTAATGGTGCAAATGAACATGAGGTAATATCTCCGTATATACGCTACCGGCGGTTGGCAGGTATTATAAAATCAGACAGCTGTTTCTCCGGTATTCGTCTGCTGCCGTATTTTGTGAAACGACAATTGATAACAAGTGCTACGACTTTGCGGGGTGCACCCAAGACTCCCCAAGGAAGCTCCCTAAGGGAGCGCGTACTTGGGGAGTTTTCTGTCCATCAGTGTTTATCGGAAGCGTTTCGGTATGCAGTTGCCCTTGAGCGAGCTATTTATTTGTATAGGATCCCGATTGGTTAACGGTCGAACACTGAGAAGAATTAACTGTACTTGATTTGGAATACTGTAGGTTACATAATCGAATAAATTTACTGATATGTTATCATAGACGTAATTTTGCTCTAATTTAAGAGCTCGACTGCTAACAGTTTTTTTAGGAATGCGGAAGTGACCCGTAAAATGTCCAAAACATATTTTATCATCGCACAATTGGTGACCCTGGGCCAGGATAGCAAGTGCATGCCCTACGCGGAAGGCTAGCATGTGATCTTTCCGAAAATTTTACCAGCATTGCAGCTACTACATTTTCCAAATAATTTTCTGAAAATTAATAAGCGAAATTTGGCCTTTACTGTATTTCGATGTTTGCAGAAACCAGTAGGACTCAGGATAAGGTTGTATAGCATGAGATGCTGACGTTATGTTCAAAGACCGCCCAATAAATAAATATGTTAGCGAATTCACCTTCTTCTTCCTCATCGGAAAGGAATAGCGAAGTAGATCGAAAGAGTTTTTAGAAGTCCACGGTGCAGATGTAGCGCAACTGTATCACTCGAATTACAGCTAACAACGAACACTTTGGGGACCGAAAAAAACCGATTTGACCACAATATGCGGTTAATGTTATCTATCTAATTTGCCTCTGATCTTTTCCGCGCTGTCATGGCGCATGAGCGCATACTCGTGAGGGCACAGATGGCAATCGAAAGGTAACGGGATGCTGCAGTGGAAAGCATTCTTCCACACCCGGCTCCGCCACCATCCTCTCTGTTCTCACCAAATAATCCGATCGAAGAACCGCCGGCGTACAGGAAGTGGTAGCACAGCACGAAGCGGATCTCTGTCCGTCATTTGCGGAAGTAGCATAATTATGATAGCAACGGACACCGCAATAGGAGCCGGGCCGCTGCTCTGGCTTTTCTCGGGAAGCTGGTTCGAAAGAAGAGGACCGTAACTTATCAAAGAACCGTTCTGAATAGCGTTATAGCAGCCGACTGTCAAATATTATATTAAGTTCTGCTGGAATGTTGGAGAACGGTTCTAATTTGGAATATTTAACGAATTAGCATTCTTCTGCTATTCACAGATTCGAAATCGCTGTATTTTATCATACTTCATGTACACATATACCGATATTTAAAAAACAAAATCTGTCAGTCGCTTCACAGTTCAATGCATACGTACACCAAAGCATATGCGATATAAAAAAGCTGTAACTTACAGAATTTTTTAAATACACTAACTGAACCGATAACATTATTACAAAAAATGTTAAAATTAAGATAAAAAACTCTTCGTATGGAACAAAACGCGCACAATCACAAAGACTGGTAACCTGATAAGTCATTTCATATTTCGGCATATTTCCTAAAGCAAACAACAGATCGTTTTGTCTTCTTCATCTTCGAAGCATCCGTCCAACGCTTCGAAAGTCATCTTGCTCAGGGCGGAAATATCCAGTTGGCGCGGATCCACACTATCCCATCGCTGTGGATTGTCAGTAAGGTTCAAACTGTTGAACCTGAACAAAACATGCGATCTGCTATGTTGTACCTATATCATAAAAAATGACAGTAAAATCTGTCTATATTGCATTACTCACATTTTCAGGAAGATGTGAACACGGGTCCATTGTTCCGGATAGGACAACATTCGTACCCAGCGCGCATAAATCGCGGAGACCTTCTGAAAAACACGATGAGTAATCGCCGGGCAGTTGTCGTTGGCTGTGGATAAAAAGCGTCGGCACTGCTCAGCAGCCGTTTCCGTGGAGCGGAAGCGCATGAACGGAACGACCACTGCTGTCGGAGCGTCAACCTCAAATACCCTGCGTAATAGTAACCTTTCCCGCTTCATTAAAGGTGGAACGTGGAAGTTAATGTAGATGAAGAGAATCTTCAAAGATGATCCGACAATGGCTTCTGACGCGGTGTAATTGATCAGCAGCAGTTCCTCACAAACCGACAAAAAATCGGTCAACATGTGGCATTCGAACTCCTCGCTGGGGTCGTTGCAGCTGGTTACCAAGGAGGAACACGCTGGTGGACCCAACGTGGTTCCGTTCATTACGATGACCCGGGGTACACGAATGCCTTTGACGCCTAACAACACTCTAATCTCCGGCAAATTCTCCTCAACGTTAAAGCGGAAATTCGGGAACGAGCCCGGCTTTTCAATCTTCCAGAATATTATATTGTTGGCTGCCGGTTCCTCAGGGTACCGATTATGCCGCAGAGCATCCTTGTGCACTTCAGCACAAATCAGAATAACTGTGTCGACATCCGCGCGGACAAACACTCGACAGCCGACAGGGAAACGAAACTGATCTTCCACCTCCGGTCCATGTTTCCTTTGGCAAAGGAAAAAAAACTTCATCGAAGCTCTCTTCCCGGTCATATCGACAACGGGAATTACACGCTGCACCAGGGTATAAATTCTATCTGCCGCATTTTAAGCAGGAATGTGGGCATGAAATCCTGATTACGCAACAGATGCGCTTTGGAGAAGCTGATAACGTGTTTTTTGAACAGAATCCAATTCGATCTACCGAAGAAACTGTAACCGGGCCTTGGAGGCCGCCAAGAGAACTGCGTAAAATGCACAAGGTGATTGGACGCGGTCTGTGCATTCGGCTCCGCTACACTTTGCTTATCCAGACATTCCACACTGACGATGTAGAATAAGTGGGGATGGCAGTAGCGCACCTAGATAATCCCCTGTATTGCTGCCGTCAGCCGGCTGGCGCATGACGTTATGGCTATACATGGCGCTTATGTACCGCGCCAGATTTAGCCATATGTACTGCCGTAACGTCACACTCCAGGCGGGTGACGGCAGCAATAGAGGGGATTATCTAGGTGTGCTACTGACATCCCCTCGTATATGATCCAGAATGTGGAGGAGGGTTGCCGGACGGAACACCAGGGGATCAACTTCCTCATCACGTAGTGCCACGGGCATCAGAGCGGTCCTCGGTTGCCGGACAGTAGAAGTGGTGAGGAAATACGTGCCGAGAATGGATCCACTGGGCGCAGATTGTGCGGGCATCGAAGCCAATAAAAAAGTTATCGCCTTCGATGTCCTACATATATCCCAGCCACCATTGCTCGTTGGCACGGTGCACCAGCACCGTGTTCCCTAGTTGACTTTGCGTGCTCCGGAATGCCGTAGACGACGGGGTGTTGCGCTAATTTCTGCCTACGGAGACCGAGTCTCTGGCCATTGTACCAAATTAACAGCCCTGTTGGTCCATGCTATCAAAAGCGATCACGAACGTTAGATAGGACCCGATCAATGGTGCCGTTAGAGTAATCTGGCTGAGTGTTGGTAAGTCACACCGCCATTGCCCGACGTCATATATAACCAAAAAGAAGCCTTATTGTCCTGGCCTGCTTTAACTAACAGTTAAAATAACTAGGCATACAACAAAACGGCTTATACTATAAAAGACCATAACTTAATATTGTAAGAAAGGGCGCTACATTTTGTCTGCTGCAGACTTCTTCCGTGGTGCTTAGTGCTCATGCGGCGGTCGCCGGTCTCCCGTGGATTTGTAGCGAAAACGGCTGTATGTGTATAAGAAACTCGTGCGACTGTATGCTTTCCGGCGTGCTGCTGAAATAATTTTAGCAGCACGCCGGAAAGCGTTTGCTAGGCTGCACTAAGAATAAAATTATGTTGAAAATATTGAATATCGATCTCTCACCTGCGCTGGGTAAATGTCTTGAGGGGAACCGCATGACTTACTACAGCCGGACTTTGTGCTGTGCACACTGCACACGTTTACTTGTTTGTACCCGTATATCCGACTGCGCCGGGTTCGGCGTTGTAATTATACGGTATAACCACCTTGTATCGACTATCGAATGTTCCTAACTTCCACAATTTTCACTGTCTTAGATACGCATAGGTACGTGTTGTCGAAATGCGTCTTACTTGTTAGTCAATTCCTTCAAGCGCGATAATATTCCCACAAAAATCTGCACTATATCTGATATCAAGAAAATAATAAAACTTCTGTTTTCTAGTACTTAGTTTGTACTTTCACGTGATACTTATTAAAGGTCCACCACCGTAGAAAATAATGAAAATCATAGAACTAAATGTCAGAGCTCAGAACGCCGCCGTGTGAGAGTATAAATGCCCGGTATGGCATTTGAAATGCCCAGTATGACATTCTAAAACTTTTATAAATTTCTTATTTGTAAACTTCGAGTTGTGGTTTTCTTAACTTGTTACTATGAGTGTTCGATCAATGTATACAAGCATGAGCACTGCATTGAGCACTGCCCTTTAAAGCGAACCAGCAACTTGATCCCCACTGGATACCGGATCCAAATTTCCAGCGGTTGTTCCTAGTACAATACATAAAGCCTAAACAGTTTCGATTTTTCGGAATTTGCACCTATTACGCTTCAACGGTTGTACTTCAAACAGCTTCCATCATACGTTGACCTTCAACATGAGTAGCTCCGCATAAACGTTCTGTGCGAATGTTTCGATGGCGGATAACACAAATGTCTCACGATTTCTCGCTGACATGGACACGACCACGTTACCGCCTTTATCGCTAGATCAAATAGACAGTTGTCCCAGCGAACGGTTGAAAACTTTATACCTGTAACCCCTATGACAATTTGGTCAGGCAGTAGCTCAAAGGCCGACTGAATTGGCCTTAGTCCTCATGTGCTTAAATTCCATAGGGATTTGTTGTTTGCTGGGAAGAGCAGAAAATTATTGAGATGCTCAAAGTTATTGAGATGCATGCACTCATTTCACTTGTACAAGCTGTAGTTTATGCTTTTATTTTCGTACCGTAAACCGTGAAGATAGCAAGGTGAAGGAGAAACCATATCATTTAAAAACAAGTGCATAATTGTCATACTAACCTCAATGCCAAGTGGCGAGCATTGATTAGCCCGAAGATAGCACGCGATTTTCACACAGTGCGATAGTGTTAGACATTGCGTCTGTTGCCATATATTTTAGATACGTTAAAGAAAACAAAAAAATGGTGTGACCTTGTCATTTGCCATGTGGCCTGTGGGATTTGTCCATTCATCGATGATCTGGGCGAGCGGTCCACAGTTGGCCCGGGTGATATTTGAAGTTTGCATATCCGGTTTCTCAATGTTCAAATTCAGGGAGCATTGCAAAACTTACATACCATTGAAGTCTAATACTTTCCCTATATTTTCTTCCATCTAACTAATTTTCCGGTTTCTTGCCTTACCAGGACATACAGTGGCTCCTGAAGCTAACTGAGAAAATTGTGTTATGGGGTGACAGACTGACAGTCCTCTTTAGAACTGGTGGTTCTTAAAAATGGAGAAAATCTGTTGCATTATAACTGAAACCGTCGAAACCCAAACTTAGTATTACTATATAATTCTGAAATATACCGCAGAGTCTGCCTTGTGCATTGCGCATAATACGATATCTAAGACAGTACATATCTTATCAAAAGCCTTTGTGTAACTCATATCCCGCTAAATCAAGCTTTAATAAATTGCATTTGCCATGCCAGAATTTCGGCCTAACAACGTGGATGCCGTATCGGGATATGGTGGCCGGCTATGGAGAGTGCTGAAATTGTGGCTGATTATTCTACAAATTTTTGGACTATTTCGCTTTCCAGCGGTACAATACTCCGCATTAAAGTGTTTTTTTAACGTCATTTTACTACTCAGCGCTGTGCTGACCTTTGCCGCCCAAATGTTCTACGCTTATGACACCTGGTCAAGCTACCACAGGACGGCCACGAAATTCCAAATCATCGTCGTTGGATGCATTCATACGGTTCTGTGCGCATCTGAACTCTCGTACATTTTAGTAATGTGCAGTGCCAGCAAGAAACTTTTACGATTAATTCGCAAGCTTGATGAAAACTTTGATACAGTTTTAACGGCATCGGATTGGAGAGCGCTAGCCATTGCTTTGGGTGGCTTTGCGATCAGTGTTGTCGTCATCACGGGTCTGCTGTGGTACTGCTACGATAGCGGCGATTCGTTCTCCATCATGACTGACGTCTACCGTGCTTCGTACTTTCCTGGTCTATCGCTGGATTCGGTGACAGCCTTCAATGCGGTATACTACATCATGTCGACGTGGTTTGATGTCGCTAAGGACATTCTCGTTGGATTCATCCTCTTTCTGGCAATCAGCACGGGACTAATATTTCGACGGATCGCGCTGGGTTTCGCACAGTCGCACACCGACCGGGATACAGTCCGATGGGTGTTGCTCCATAAGTTCCTCAATCAGGTCGTTAGCGATCTCGACGTCAGCCTATCCGGAATCGCAGGCATGCGCATCGTCGCAGTGCTCGGCTGGGCCATCATTTCGACATTCAACATCAGCGGACAATATGCTAACTGCGGTGCCGCAGCTCCATCCTCTCTTCTGTCACTCGTCGAAGCGATGCGAAACTTGATTGCAATTGTGTTCGCGTTCGTTTTCTCTACTGAGCAGGTAAAACGAGTATTCACGCCATATTGAGACCGTTTTATTAATTTTTTTACTCTTTCCCGTTCACGCTGTCATTTAGAAAATTTTTCAGCAAAAAGCTGTTTCTTTCGGCTATGAGATCATACAAAATTTTTGGCGATCATGCTATGGGATCTTTTGCGATCATGCGGGCAAAAGCTGCTCGCATTTACTTGATGGAATTTGAGGTTATAAAAATGACACAGAAATCCCGAACGCCGGGGTTATGCAACTTTGTTAGACCGTTCAACGCGCCGAGTTCAGCTGAAGTACCAAGATTGAAGCACGTTGGACAGAGACAATGCCGAGTAATACATTTAAAAATATTGAGAAATCCTAAAATTATTCACAAATATATTTTGGAAATGCAACAATATTTATGCTTTGAAGTATCTAGAAATCTCTGGAAAGATTAAAAATGGTTGAAAATTGTTTCGGGATGCCCTTTAAGCTCAGCTTGTCCAAACTTTCTGAACCGACGAACTTAGTTGCCCAAGGGCCTCGAATCTTCGTGTCTCAATTGACTCAGCACATCGAACTGTTTAAGAAATTCGGCGTAAACCGGCGAAAATTGGGCGACGTTATTGGTATACCCATGAACCCGGTTCAAGGTCTCCGCGTTAGAAACTTGAAGTCCTATCTGTAAAACGCAAGCTCGCCTCGCTAGTATGGTCGCAACAAATCTCGTTTGTAACTTCTTCAGTTTTTTTAAATTTTCTCAAGGTTTCCTATCTCTTCTGAGCTATAAAAATCTCGGTAGTTTTTCCTCCCTTCTCTGACCAACGAAAACCCCTTTATTTAATTAATTTTCCCTTCCTTTTATTACACCGGCCGTTATGTTGACCTTGTCCAGGAATCCTGGCCGTTTCTTGACTACACAGTCTACACTAACATTTGACTTATGAAGTCCCGTATTCTTGCAGGCACAGTCGCTCGCCAGCTACAACAGAGCATATGTGCAAAAGCGTTGCACTATGCCTGATCATCAGCTTAACATTCTGAACAAACCTGGCATATGCCGATTCCAGTGGCTCTACGCGCAACGTATACAGTTTTGTCCACCAGGATTTACTCTGGCAGGCATTATCGTCTCACGTCAAAAAGCCGTGGAGGTCAGTCTGTCTGGCGTAATAGTAACGATAGAAAGATCTTATTTTTGCGTATTACAGTAATATACATACCTATTTATACAATCTTGCACTTCTTGGGTTTCCAGGGTACGATCGGCATAATCAGCTGTATTCTAGTCTTTGCTGCCTTAGCAAGCTATGATGATACCCATTTTACATGTCTGTCAACCAATGGAACCGCCGGGCGGCTGCTCTGAACTTGCAGCACAGCGTTATCACGGGAAAGGTCAACTTCTGTGCTGGTACAGAGTCTGTAGTGTCGGTATATTCAGCTCTCCTTGTCAACGAACCGTTTCATGCAATTTAAATGCTACCGGTAGCGCGCTTTGTTATGAACTTAAACCGACTTACTCATTTCATTCATTTGATAAATAATTAGTCGTTACTGCTCTAAGCCGTAAGTCAGAAATGTTGCATTATTGACATATTCGAAAGCGCTAAAAACGTTGTTTGCACTCTGACGTTTACACAGCAGCGGGTATGTCCTTCTCCAGAGAATTCCTTAGAGATCCCCAATTACTGCATACTGAAGTACCGTAGTACTTCTGCTGATAAAACTACATCAGCTTGCTATCCTTCAACTCACACACTCAGTTTTTCTGAGTGATCGTGTAAGAGAGGAACTAAGTCTTGCTTATAGGCTGCAGCAATTTCATGAAGAAGTCATGGTTAAAACTTAAAGAACAATAGCAGTCATGCCGGAGTGCTCGTCAAAAATAAAATTTTGTGCAACGCTTGGTTGGCTTTCGATGATATCGAAACCCTGGTTCATAATTCTGCAGTTTTTTGGGTTGTTCAATTACCCACTGACAGATAACCGCCTGATAACCTTTTGCCTTCGAACCGTTCTCGTTTTACGTGCATTTCTGACGATAGTTGGTCAAGGATTTTACGCGTACGACACCTGGACCAACTACTTTACGACCGCAACGACATTTCAGACGATAGTGATTGCCTGCATCAACACTTTCGTTTGTGTATGCGAATTATCTTTCATATTCATCATGCTGCCGCCCAGCAAAAAAATTGTGC